AATAGGAAATATTGAGTCGAGAACAACTGTTCCGGTTAAACTGATTCACTAATCATATATGAATCGCAAATTCAGTTCTGATTGACATGCCACAGAGAAGCTGGAAATGCTCACGTGTGGTATCATTACTTCTTGGTAGCAGGGGCGGGCTCGATTCCCCACATGGGTGCAATGTGTGAAGCCCATTCCTGGTGTCCCCCACCGTGATATTGCTGGAATATTGTTAAAAGCGACGTAAAACCGTACACACTCACTCCTCTCGGACACATGATTGTGATATGGTCGTTTCCATATATAATGGAATTTGCTTTTAATACAAATTTCTTATGATAATTGAAATACTTCTGTTTCTTTTATTTATCATTTAAATATTGCGACGGAAGTAAGTTGGTTTTGCCTTCGAAAGTGTTGCATTTTCAGCCATTGACATATATGCTATTTCAGTTGTATATATACCTAAACATCCACAAAATCCTATTCATACTTTGAAATATTGTTGGATAACATAAAATATAGGATTGTCATCAGGCCATCGTGACGTTCTTGTCCGAGAACACTGTTGCTTGTATCATGAATGAAGAATACACTATGTTCACGACAGACCCTGGAGCCAATAATGTATGTAATAAAGGTGTGGGCAAATCATTTCGTTTCTTTACAACCCTCTGTCTCAAGAGTACTGAAGTCCATACAACTTCCCTTTTATTTGTGTAGATAGCTGCTTGATACGATCAGTTCTAGAACAACAAGGGAAGGTAAATATGTCCACAAAATATATATTTAATGCAGTTCAAATGTAAACAATACAACTATTGAATTTTGATTTTTAATTCATTGGAACAAAATGTATTAAACTCTTTTAGATGTGGTCATTTCCTTATTTTCCAAATTTAAATCGGCTTTAGCTATATACCTTTACATAAACAGAAGTACACATGGCTGTATAGATTTGCCTTTGCATTTATGATCACCGTTGCATATTTATTTCTGAAAGCGTTTTATATTAGCTTTATGTTAAAACATACTAGTAGATGTCAAGTCTGAATCCTTATGGAGATCATGAACCGAGGCTAATGCAGTCATCCGTGGCATCATCCTGAATCTACACAAACGAGACGTCGTGGGTATAGGGAACACCACCAATATACTTCACACAGTATATAAGTATAGTAAATCACTTGTCTTTGGCGCGACTAACACCCGCTTCAACATTAAAGGGGTAGTGGGTAGCCTTGTGGTTAAAGCGTTCGCTCGTCACGCCGATAGCCCGGGTTCGATTGCTCACATGGGTACAACTTTTGAAGCCCATTTCAGGTGTCCCCCGACGTGATATTGCTGGAATATTGCTGGAATGTTGCTAAAATCGGTGTAAAACTAAACTCACTCACTCACTAAACATTTAAGCTACCTAACCGCCCTAACACTGTTGGAAACCTCTTGCGTATCACATCCAGGACATCTCAAGCCATCACGATCACTTCTTTCGCTGTAGGTTTGTTGGCATTATACAAACTACTAATGTAAGACGCCAAATGAGGATCATTAAAAGAAAACTCAACCTTCACACAAAAAGTCGGAGTAGATTTCCTTCTCAGAATATATTGCATCCCTGTTGACATACATGACGGTGATCCTATTTGGCCTATTCAACCGCTTCCATCTCTTTCGTCAATAAAATTACCTGAAATGGGTAATATGGAGAAAAATATCCTATAAAATGAAAACGAGGCCCTAAAATACTTCATAGTATCAGTACTAGCATTGAGGCGTACAATTAGCTTTCTGCGTAAGGCATTAAGCACATATTACGCTGATATTATTGCCCGTTACGAAACAGCCACCCATTCGCTTACATAACCTAAGTGGAAATTTTGAAATAAAAGAGGAAACTAATAAGATCCAGGAAAAGGTAACACAGTTGTGCAATCATAGTAAACAGTTAACCCCCTAATAGCTTTGCTATGAACGTTGTGACATAATTAATGTCGCGTTACGCTTGTCATTACGCTTAAAGATACGTCAGCGGACTGCGTATACACCTGTTTGTACTTTCAAAATTAAAATGTTTTTGAACCATTAACTAACGGCGACATAACTAGTTCCAAAACGTTTTTGGTGCTTCAAACTTGCTATAAAGCAGGAAACAGACTTCAAGAGGCATGTTTTCCCCAACTCGTTAAAATTGCCATGGTCCCTTCTGAGATGAAAAGATGTCTAATCTTATATTTCGACCGAGGACTCTTCAAAACTTTGTACGGCGTTAACTGACCTAGGGTCGTGTGGCTCCCTGGTAATTCTGGTTTGAGTCCAATGTTATGACACTGGATTAATCTGTTCCATATCACTACTTTTGATTTTCATCAAAGTGATGAACTTAGACCTTGCATTAGTTTCTGCTTTCCTCCAACATTTAGCTGACATGACTGAAATACTTCCCAACTCACTCACACGTCCGGCTAACCCGTGAAGATCCAGGTTAGAATTGGTCTTCAGCAACCCATGCTTGTCATGAGAGGTGACTAACGGGATCGGGTGGTCAGGCTCGCTGACTTGGTTGACATGTCATTGTATATATCTCAATCGCGTATATCGATGCTCATGCTGGTGTTCACTGGATTATTGGTCCACACTCGATAGTTTACATCCCTCATATAGCTGGAATATTGCAGAGTGCGCAACAAACGAACAGAAGTCCGATATATCCTTGCCGACAGTACCCGTTTATTTATCATCTAGCGCCAAACATTTTAAATACATGGACTTCAAAACAAACTTATATATGCTCTGGACAGTGATCATGCTGTTGATCACTGGATTGTCTGGTCCAGACTTAATTGTTTACGACATATAGCTGGAATATTGCTTACTCGGGACATTGATTTAGCATGAACCTGTGCCCGGTGAAAAGAAAAGGAAATGTTTTTTAGCCGAATGACACTTAGCTGTGGAAAAGGCCTTGTGGCTTGAGATTAAAATATAATTTCTTGTGAAGTGGTCCAAGATGCAGTAATTATCTGTCATATTTTATTACGTGCTGTTTGTTATTACACACGATGCATGAGATGCGTTGCTGTACGTTTTGGAAAGGGGAAGTAATTATATAATTCCTTGTTAAACACGCGTGTGAAGAGTGTAATTAATGAATTAAACACTTTAACACATCAACTGATTTAAAAACCTGTGAAGTCGCAGCTCATTTTCACTCTCAGTACAGAACATACCCTCTTCAAAAAAAGAAACTCACAGACGTTTTAAGCAGTTCATTTCCATATATTTTAACAGCAATCGTTATTAAGACAATTCCTATATTTGAATCCCGTTAATCATATCGTGGGTATTGTGTACTGTGCGCAGACGCATCCCGGCCAAAATGTGTTTGTAAACGTTCGTCATAAAAAATGAAAACGATACAGGAAAAGTGCATGCAGGAAAAGTTTTCCACGTAATGCACGTGCAATGTGTCGGAAACATGAGTAGAGGCGTCGACTATAAAAGGCCAAACCAAATTCATCATTTCATTACGAAATGCCAAGATTGAATGCTACTGACCGAAATATCGCCATTGGATGTTTGGAAGCAGGGGAGTCCCAGTCTGCCGTTACAAGACACTTCAACGTCCACCCCAGCACCATATCTCGATTATGATAAACATCATCATGATAAATAAACGGGTCCTGTCGGAAAGGATATATTTGTTGTGCACTCAATAATATTCCAGCTATATGTCGGCGATCTGTTAGTAATCGAGTCTGGACCAGACAATCCAGTGATCAACAACATGAGCATCGATCTACGCAATTGGGATACGATGACATGTGTCAACCAAGTCAGCAAGAAAGACTTATCTTATCAGCGGCAACTTTATATCTGTGAACAGCAGCTGTCGTCTCTGTAATATACTAGCCACATAAAGAAACTGTGCACACAGAAAATTCCTTCAGAATTGGAATACAACACAGAAAAGAACAAATGATGTAGACACTTTATTAGCTGAAGTATCGGGCCTCAACAACATGTCAAAAGAACATGAACAATATCCGTAACGATGACGTTAGATGTTCAAAATTGAGTCGGGGGTCACACGTCGAAGTCACCAAGTCAATAACGGGTATGACCATCATGCGCGTGAAGCACAGCAGTGCATCGACGACGCATAGAGGCTACCAAATTTTCCAAATGAAGGCCTGGGGGATGGTTTGGGACGTGGTCACTGCCGTCTGGAACCTGAGTCACCCGAATCCATCTGTCCTGTCTTGGCGTCGTTACTCGGGGACGGCTAGAACGTGGGTGGCCGGCGACGTCATTACTGTTTCCATAACGCCTGACCAATGCAGATATCGTGTTACGATTGCATTGGAAATGTGCTGCCACCTGTTCTTGTCTAATGCTTGCTCGAACCATTCCAATGGCTTCATGACGTTGAGCAGATGTTAATCTTGGCATGATGTGCATGTGACTTCTCGTGTGAATTTGTGAACGTATGCATGACCAAAGATCAAGCTTTCGACAGTGACAGCAATTTCAGAGTTTCACATGTTGTGTGCAGCTGCACAGGCTGCACGTGCAGTAACACGTTGCAAGTCCATAGGCCACCATCAATGACGTCACGTCGCCTGGCACCTGCATGAGCGTTTGATTGTCTCCAATACTTGCTATGTTCACACCTATATTTATGTATAAAGACGCTGTCTGCCTATCTTTATATTTTCTGTGTGCACAGTTTCTTTATGTGGCCAGTATATAATGATTGTTCATTGTGTGTTGATGTACATTGGAGGAAGAGGTCTGCTATCTACTACACCAAAGGGATTTTATTGCACTAAGGTCATGTAACATGTTAAAACCACAATGGTTAATTACATATACAACACATTACCTTATTGCCAGGTAACACCTACATTGTACAATTAACACAACCAGTTCAAGCAACGCGCCGCGTCGCATACCCTCTTTCACTGTAGTCACATAACGCATTTATCAAACACTTCGCCAGGCATGTTTAACCCTTCAGAAAAACCACAACCGGAGCGCAACAATGACAAAGGGGAGTAACGTCGCTCGCTGCTATTCACAAGCAATACGTCTGGGAGACATGTCAAATGGACATTAACGTATTATGAAACCATCGGAGCCAATTAGATCTCGCGCGCACATGAACAATATTACGGAACCGCGACACACACTGATGTAGATGCTGCTAGCGTTCGGTGATGACGGATACAGGGAGAGCCCGGCTCAGGGCCACTGTGTTCCTCTACACAGCAGGTGAGTGCTCCGTATACTTGCCTAGACGCAGAGAATTTGTGTTTTTTTCATTTGTCAAGATACTTCGCTGTATGATATAGTATTTCAAATTTCTTTGGATATGCTTACATAGTTGTATTGTATTATATTTAAAGTTTAAGTTTAAATTTGAAGAAAAACGAGCAAACAGCCGTTTAAGTAAAACATTTCTGGATAATGCTTTACGGACTCTTTTGCTTTTTAATTTACGAAGCTATACCAATAGTTTGTAATATCTAGAACTGGTGTTTACAGACTGAATATGTAATTGAAAATGATAGAAAAAAACAATCCTGTCTTTTCTTTGTGAAAATTAAACTCGAGCTAAACCCGACAATTTGACATGAAAGCCACCAACCGACATATCACCAAGCCCAGTACCTTGACGGTGATCTCAACCCCGGGGGAAACGTGATGTGGAGCTTATCACGGTCACTTTCAGCAACCAAATGTAAACATACGGGATGTTTAATGCGCATTCGAGAGACACGACATACTTTCATCTGCGTCTGCGTTACTTATCAAAAGAACAAGTTTTATGCAGATACGTTTTATTTATCAAACTGTTGTAAGCCTGGGTTTCTAGGCAGGTGATCCCAGAGAGACACACTGCGTCAAAGTGCCCATCCTTGCCTAACCTACTTCACTTACAATAGCGAGAGCTGATTGCATGTAGTCATATGTGCTACAATATACAGTATGCAATGTATATTTCTGTGGAATGAAACAGTGTATTTTTAACTTTGTATTTTTAAACCTGTTCAGTGCGTCCTAAACAGTTATATATACTATAGTAATGTAGATTTTATCTACTCAAGGCAAAAGTTAAAAAATATATTAACTAAATGCATGATGCAGCGATTTTTACACGTATGACAGTGTTTTGAAAATTATCATGAGATATCTAAACACGTTTCAACTTTTAGACATTGTTGAATTTCTAAGATGTTGATGTGAAATATGATGGGTGTGTGCACAGATGAGAAGCGATAAGGATGGGTCGGTGGGTGCTGGATTAGCTTGTCGGGCACATGGGTCGGGTTCAGATAATCAAATTGATGCCCTTGTTATCCTCCAGCAATGTAAGTGTGAAAGGCGACACTTAACTCACGCTTTCTCTTTCATTCAATGGGGTGAACGGGACAAGAAATGTTGTCAAATCTAAATAATTTGTAATATATTAATGTTTCAAACCGGTTTGGCGACCCACTTAGCTCATAATTGGACCCCGAACAACATTACTCAACTTCAGCTTTCTTTTGGTTAAATGTTCTTCTTAGTCGAATACAGGGCACCTCAGTCAGGTCATATACGGGTGCAAGTGTGTTTCTGCGTTCAACCATTACAAGTTCCAAAGTGTCTCGGCATCCGACCGTCACTATTTCTATTTTTTTTAGTTTCTTTTTGCTTTACATTAAATCAAAACCTTACTTGTGTAATTTAAACTCTCTTAGTCATGTTAGGGATCGCGTGGGGGGTAAAAGTTGTTTATGTCAAATACAAGTGTTTCAGAGCATCTGAATCGAGACTGAGGGACAAATCTCCTTATTCAGGGCCAACTCTTGTTATTCCGAATCAAGCCGAAGAGCGACTCGTGTGCCTCTAGAAGATTTCATATTGTCGTATGAACAACATCAGAACCCGGAAACAAGAACAAAAACTCGATTTTTTTTAATTTGAATCTCTAAAACCGGGCGTGGCCCCATCTCTATTTACAAATTCAATTCATGCAGCATTTATTTTTAGCGATGTACTTTGTAATGTCAAAATGACTATGATTATTATTCACGATTTTGAAAACGATTACATTCTGCCATAATAACCAAAACCAATTAAAGTACTTTTTATCAGAGATCCTTAATCCACATTCTTGGTTGTTACAAGTTCTCTCTGTTATTAACATCTTTCAGTACCTCTCGACAGGGGATCTAACCAATCTTCCACAGACACTCTATCCACTAGACTTCACCTGTTTAATGTTTGGCCGGTCTCAATTCTCTTCAATCTGTCTAGCAAAATAGTAAACAAGACATAGAGCACAAACCGTCCTTTCTCCTCATGTCTCGATGACCCGCTACTCATGTCCGACATGACCGTATTATACACTTGTCATGTTAACTTGTAAGATCTCCAGTGGCCTGACAAAATGGACCTCTCCTACTCAGGGAGGAGAATAGGCATTTACTGGAAGTATCTGTCAAACACAGAAGGGCTCATATATCACAGTGGGGTATGTCATTACAGCTTAGGATGCCTCTTGTCCTTGAAGTAATTCAAAACACAATACTTTCTTTAACCAGCCGAGCTTGACTATCTTTAGTGTCAGGAAAATGTTTTTCTTTAAGCTCACGAAAGCGAATCATTCTTTAGAATGTGCTATCATAATATATTTTTACGCCTCCATAATCCCTTCTTCACAAAAAATGATAATTCACGCAACCATACCTGTTATAATAATCCTTATTTTAAACCTTTGGATTGTGGCTAAACCACAATGTCCACAAAATTGGTTCTGTTTCGTTTGGACGCTGAATACCTCGGATTCTTCACTTTTATAGTGTCTTGTGGCGAGATGTTAAGCTGTAGTTCTACCTACGGGTGTAATAGTGTATGAATGGAGTGAGGTTAATGTTTGAATAATTGACCTGGTTAAGTAATCCTGTGGTCTGTACAATGTTGTTGACGTGTGACGTGTTGATAACTCATAGGCCAAATTAAAGTACCGCTTTCCGGCCAATGAGCTGCCAAACTCTCAGTTCCCCAGCCTGGCAAATGCGCTCCCAAAGCTTCCCAATACCCAAGTCCGATCGATGAGTTGTCAAAAGTTACCCCTTGAAAGCAGTACTCATTTTACAATTCCGACTACACCATAAGCACTAGACTAACGCTTAGTCCCTAAATATATATAATTTTGATAGTAACAAATAAACCCATTTTAATTGAAAAAGAGCCCCATTGAGTTGGGAGATTCAGGCCTGAACCTGGGGAAATCTAGACTTGCTTTATTTACGGCCTTAGCCTTGCAGGGAGGGTTAGGCATTAGGGAAAATAATGTGGTTCAGGGACTGTGAGGCAAACTATTTAAGTACGTGTTTATTAATCACTATCAAATAGTGGTGATACGAAGTGTTAGCGAAAAAAGTGTCAGGCCGTCACAAACACGCGCGAAGGCACGGCAAGTGTACGAATGTTACAAAAGGAAATAGGGAAGTGTATTGGACATAAGTTTTGCCTCTGATGCATCCAATTTGTCCTCCACAAACTATTACACATTTGACAGTTTTATTAAGGCTTTGGGGTTTGTAACCCTAATTAAACAACGATAAAACCTAGGGCAGTGGTATAGTCTTTACATCCTGAATAAAACCTTTGTCGCATATTAAAAAAATGTTCCTTTTCCAGAGCGGCAACCTTTATTCAAGCCGTTTCCTAATTTAGCTCCAGGCAGAGATATCAAACGGAATAAATATACCGGCGAGCGCAAGAATCCGTTATCAGCATTTCCAAGTGCTTACTCATGACAAAGCTTGCAACCTCAGCAAGTGCATCGACATTTCCGTCACTAAAAAACAAAATGCCGGACTACCTCTGCAAGCTGCTTCTTGGTAGAGACACCTCACTGGGGTTCAGGCGGGCTGTAAATAAGACAGGAAATTTAAGTTTATCGCAATAAACATTTACTTTCATCCAACCGGTGCCAGACATGGAAATGGAAACTGCGACATGCTCAGCCGTACAGCTGCTGTGGTCGACGCGATCCGACTTGGAATTCCCGTAAAGTCTGACAACACGTGAGGCTCTCGCAATCTGGAATCTATCAGCTATTGTAGTCGGAGTGTCCACGTTTCCTTGATTAGCTTTCATTTGCCGTATCGGAACAACGCCCTTTGTTTACCAAGCTCTACAAATGTCGACTGCCTGACTGACTGAGTTTAATTTTACGCCGCTTTTAGCAATATTCCAGCAATATCACGGCGGGGGGACACCAGAAATGGGCTTAACACATTGTGCCCATGTGGGGAATCGAACCCGAGACTTCGGCGTGACGAGCCAACGCTTTAACCACTAGGCTACCCCACCGCCCCTACAAATGTCGAAGGGAACATCAGTGTAGGGAATTGTTTGTTGTTCTCCGTCCCCGTGCCAGTGAGTGAGTGAGTGAGCGGTGCTTAAACTAACAGTCGTACATATTCAAACTCTATCCGACAGGCTGTACTGGACCTCTGGCGAAGGTAAACCAGTGGTTTGAACATAGGATGCGATGAAACGCATAGCAATATTACAGCGGGGGGTACCGACAATCCACTTCATGCTTTTCATTCGTCTGGAATCAAACCTGGGTCCCGACGAGTGGATGTGTTAAATATTTACGTCAATAACACAATTACAAGTCTAGGTATCCGCCGAACCAGATTTCCTCAGCAAAAACTGACAAAATAGCTGTTAAACTCATATCGCTGGAACTTAAAAACCATTCCTGACACCCAGTCCTAGCGACAGAGATAAGCATGGCCCGCCCTACCAGTAGCACCACCACTTGCACAGTTGACACTAAAAGTAAGTGTGTTTTCACGAACGCCACACATGGCTACTCCTGCCATACAACGGCTTTTAAAACATTGGCTTTTATAACATGATGGTACTGGCAGTGATGCTTTCTTATGTATGTTATTTTCATGTTTGATAGCACACTTGGCCACAGACCAATATCTCCTCTGGAATTTGAAAACAAACAAACGATGCCTCACGAAGTTCTCACCAAACATTTCAGCTGGAACTGTATAACATAATTAACTGCCCTGTAACTTACTTACGCGATAGTTTACCGTTTGTATGTTGAAATCAAGATATTATGTTTGTAATGAAAACATACAGGTTAAAACTCTAAATTTAAGAAAAACAATGTGGAAGGACGCGGTTGTATTTTTAATTAATTTTGAAAAAACTGCAAAGTATTAATTTTATGTCGGAGATAGCCCAAT